GATTTACTTTTTTGCATTTTATTTTATTTTTAAAATGTTTATTTATATACTTATTTTTACAGTTTTTGGCCAGGGCCAAGTTTGAACCCACCACCTCCGGTATATGGGGCTGGAGCCCTACTCTTTGAGCCACAGGCACTGCCCTTTTTCGCATTTTTTTGAGTTGACAACCTCAAGTTTGATTCTGATTATAATTTTGGTTTAATTTATTATTAACTTGACTAGGATACCTTCAAGGAATTGGTATAAGGAAGGTCATTAGGTATATATCAGTAAAATGTCAGGATAAAAAATGAAGCAATAGAATATATATTTCATGTTAAATACACAAACACATTATACACATGCTATAAAAGTGGCACATTTGCTCTGCCTGTGTCTGGTTTAACCCTTTGATCTCTTTACTGCTTTTGCTTATGGAAAATAGAAGGAGCCCTGAGGTGGGAAGGAAGTACTTCCTCCTCTCCCCTGTGACTTCCTGAATATATTTGATCAGTACCTTCATCCCCTTCTGTGTGCACTGGGTTCCAGGCTCTGTAATTATATTCACTTTGTCCATCTATACCAGCCATTTACCATGCAGATTCATCATTATTACATACTGTACAGATGGAGCTTGACCCCATTCTAAGTGCTCTTGTCTTCCAAGTGGTGAGCAGAGAGGACTGTCTTTTCATTAAAACATTGTTACTGGCTCGGCGCCTGTGGCTCAAGCGGCTAAGGCGCCAGCCACATACACCTAAGGTGGCGGGTTCAAATCCCCAGCCCGGACCCGCCAAACAACAATGATGGCTGCAACCAAAAAATGGCCAGGCGTTGTGGCGGGCGCCTGTAGTCCCAGCTACTTGGGAGGCTGAGGCAGGAGACTCGCTTGAGCCCAGGAGTTGGAGGTTGCTGTGAGCGTGATGCCATGGCACTCCACCCAGGGGGATAGCTTGAGGCTCTGTCTCAAAAATAAAATAAAATAAAATAAAACATTGTTACTTTCCAGCTCGGTGCCTGTAGCTCAATGACTAGGGGCTGGTGGGTTCCAACCCAGCCCGGGCCTGCCAACCAATGACAACTACAACAACAAAAAAATAGCCAGGCATTGTGGCGGGCACCTGTAGTCCCAGCTACTTGGGTGGTTGAGGCAAGACAATCGTTAAGCCCAAGAGGTTGAGGTTGCTGTGAGCTGTGATGCTATGGCACTCTACTGAGGGCGACAAAGTGAAACTCTGTCTCGAAAAAAAAAAAACCTTACTTTCCCTGAGACATGGCATTTAGGGCATTTTCACATATAACCGCATCACAGGCATCTCCCCTTCTATAACAGAGACAATCTTTGGTAAATAAGCCTGGAGTTCTTGCCTTTGTTCATTCTTTCTACCAAAACATTCTCCCTGCTGGAGTTCCTGCCTTCATTCATTTATTCATTGTATACCATATCTCCCGCTATGACGAGGACAGCCAGCTGAGGCCTTGTTGTCCCCCATGTTACTTCAGGGCCATGTTTCTCTTCCAATTCTCAGTCGCCATCTCATGGGGCTTCCTCTCACCCACTCACCCCTCAGCTCTGGTCTGCTCACTGTTGACCCTGCTTCCTTTGCTTGGGTAGATTTGCCACCATTAAGCGTCATGTTCCCTACAAACCTATGCAAGTCTTTTGTCCAGTCAACAAGAATGTGGGACCACCGTGCTCCTGCCACTGTGCTAGGTGTTTATGGCTCCACCTTTAAAGTGTTCGCTTCTAATTAGTGAAAAATGATACCATATCTGAAAACAGCAGAGCTCTACTGGAATTCAGAGTGGAGGGAGGGCCTGTTATGTCCATGAGGGCAAGAACCATGCTCATTTGGGTTGCTTCTGAAGCCACAAACCTAACCTATCGCCTGGAAAGGAGCGGACCCTCAGTAAATATTTGTTGGTAGCATGAATGAATGAATGAGTGAATGATGCTGGCATATTAGGATGGCTTCATGGAGGATGGGAAACTCAAAACAGGTCTTGAAGGATGGCAAATGTGGGGATTAATGTAGACAGAAAGGAACAAGGGAACAACATTACCAGTGGGAATAAATACAGTCGTGCATCGCTTACTGATAGGTCATGTTCTGATAAATGCATCGTGAGTTGATTATGTTGTGTGAACATTAGAGACTGCTAGATAGTGCAGCCTGCTACATCCCTGGGCTTTAGGGTACAGCGATAGCTCCCAGACTACACATCCATACAGCATGTTACTGTCCTGAATACTGTAGGCAGTTGTAACAATGGGTTGTATTTGTGTATCTAAACATAGAAAAGTTTCAGTAAAAATAAGGTATAAGAGATCAAAAAAATGTTACACCTGTTTGTCTGTTTAGGGCATTTACCACCGAGAATCAGTGGGTGAGTGATGAAGGAGTGTGAGGGCCTAGGACATCACACTCCTGTAAATTTTAGTAACACTGTACACTGAGGCTATGCTAATAAAAATTTTTCTCTCTTGTTGGCTCTCCACCCGTAGCACAGTGGTTACAGTGCCAGCCACATACATCAAGGGCGGCATGTTTGAACCCAGCCCAGGCCTGCTAAACAACTGCCATGAAAAAATAGCTGGGTGTTGTGACAGGCGCCTGTAGTCCCAGCTACTTGGAAGACTGAAGCAAGAGAATTGCTTAAGCCCAAGAGTTTGAGGTTGCTGTGAGCTGTGATGCCACAGCACTCTACTGAGGGCAACATAATGAAACTGTCTCAAAAAAAAAAAATTTTTTTTCTCTCTTCGATAGTAAATTAACCTTACATACTATACCCTTTTTACTTTACAAATTTAAAATTTTTGACTGTTTTGTAGTAGCACTTAACTTAAAGCACAAACATACAGTTGTACAAAAATATATTTTTCTTTATATTCTTACCCTGTAAGCTTTTCCTATTTTGATTTTTTTTTTTTAACTTTGTCAAAAACTGAGAAAGAAATACACACATCAGCCTAGGCCTACACAGGTTCAGGATTACCAGTATCACTGTCTCCCACCTCCACGCCTGGCCCCACTGGGAGGCCTTCAGGGGCAGTAGCTGACATGGACCTATGAGAACTGTGCCTTCGTCTGGAATTCCTTCTGAAGGATCCACCTGAGGCTGTCCTAAAGTTTTGTTTTTTTTTTTAATAAGTAGGAGGAGTACACTCTAAAATCATAATAAAACATACAGTGTAGCAAGTACCAGACTATAGGGATTTTTGAGTGTCACTGTGATTTATGGGACCACGGTCATATGTAGTCCGCCATTGACTGAAACCTCAGTATGCAGCAGGTGACCATATAATGAACTTAAAGGGAATGAGGAATTTTGCCTGATTAGAACATGCTCTACGCATGTTAATGAGAAGCATGAGGAAACAAGTTTCTCTATAGGTAGAAGGAAAGGAGTCCAGCCTTGTTAAATAATTTATAAAGGAGCCAAGGAAGGTTTTCTGTGTGGCTGGGGTGACAAGGGGAAGACCATGTTTAAATGTCAGGGGTGGGAGTCCAGAGAAGCAGAATGCAAGCCCAGACAGCGAGAACAAGGGTATTTTGTTTGTTTGTTCTTGTTTTTGCTCTTTTGGGAGAGAGAGTCTCACCTTGTTGCCCTTAGGGTAGAGTTCTGTGGTGTCATAGCTCACAGCAACCTCTAGCACTTGGGTTTATGTGATTCTCTTGCCTCAGCCTCCCAAGTAGCTGAGACTACAGGCACCCGCCACAAGGCCAGTTTTAGAGATGGGGTCTCGTTTTTGTTCAGGCTGGTCTCGAACTTGTGAGCTCCACCCGCCTTGGCCTCCCAGAGTGCTGCACCTGGCCCTGAGAGCAGGGGTTTTGAGAGGAGCAGTGAGAAGGTGGAGAAAGAAGCAAATATTTCAGTGGAAAATGTGACAGTGTCTGTGACTCCTGGGGGGAAGGATGGCTCCAACCTAGCTATAAATTGCCTGGCAATGTTATCAAAGGAAGGAGAGATGATTTGGGCGAGGAAAATAGTAGTTGTGGTAAGTTCATACAGGGATGATGGAAACATCCCGTTGCTGCCCAGTTAGATCCCGAGGTCTCTGAGAAGGGTATAGAATGCACATTAGAGAAGGCTTGATAGACTCCGCCATTGTCAGCACAGAGGTCATGTAGTAGCTCTTCAGTAATGGCTGTTAATTTCTTCCACAATGTGCTAGTTAGAATCCAGCTTTTATGGCACTGATGCTGTAAGTATCTATTTGAAATGTTTGGGTCCAGAGTCTGGATTTTGGATTTTTTCAGATTTTGGAATATTTGCTTTATACTATATCAGTTGAGCCTCACAAATCAGAAAATTCAAAATGCAAAATGCTCCAGGAAGGGTTTTTTTGTTTTGTTTTGTTTTTTCGAGTGTCAAGTCAGCCCTAAAAGTTTCAGGGATTGGAGCATTTTGGATTTCAGATTTTTGAATTAGGGATGCTCACCCTGAATGACAGCGTTAGCTGAGTTGTGTTTCCAGTTTTGGTGCATCCCATTGAGGGCGCGTGGAAGACGACAGTGTTGATCGCTCCCTGCCTGCCCCTCCAGAGCTCTGCGGTGGCCGAGACAGCTTCCCGTGTGATGAGAGATCCTGCTTCTCACAATGGCAGCTGCAGGTGTACCTCTGTACTTCTTCATTAGGCAAAATAATAAGCATTTAACATTTCAGCATAGGCTGTAACACACCAGAACCTCAGACGTGAGAAGGTCATATTCCTAAATCCCTTGTTTCTGAAACAAACATCATAATTGTGTTTCTGCTTGCTCAGGCTGGTCTCAAACTCCTGAGCCAAGCAATCCACCCGCCTCAACCTCCCAGAGTGCTGGTATCATAGGCGAGAGCCACTGCGCCTGGCCAAGTTTTCTGTATTTAAAAAAAATTATAAAGATCAACTTTTGAGTGATTTTGCAAAGGGAAATGAATGAAGTCTTTTGAGAAGTTACAAGACTCTACATTGTCCATGGGGTGAACATGTAGAGTCTTTGGTGCCATCCAGGCCAGAATGCTTTTTAAGTTAGAGCTGTAATAAAAAGAGCAGTACAGCTATGAAGAGTGATGCAGAAGCCGACTTGCATTCGGGTTCCTTCCTCTCTACTGTTTCTACAGGCTTCTTCCACCGGGACTTAAAGCCTGAGAACCTCCTCTGCATGGGCCCAGACCTTGTGAAAATTGCAGACTTTGGATTGGCCCGAGAAATCCGATCGAGACCGCCATACACAGACTATGTATCTACCAGATGGTGAGTACTATTTTTTTTTCAAAATGACTTAACTGCACTTCCTTAAAAGGATACCATTAGACTAAGGATAATATTAAAGTCACAGACGTTGACTTTTTACTAAGAGAATCAGTGCGATCTGCGGCACTGTATGAGGTTAAAAGCTTGTGTTGTAAATAGTGTTGAAAGGAACCCCATTACGCTTTTCCATAATACAGGTCAGATTTGATGTGTAGGCCTTCCTGAGGACAGTTTCTCAAAAGAGTTATGTAAAAGATTCTCCAAAAAGAACTATATGAAAATCACCTAATTGCTATTGTTAGAACTTCCAGACCCTAGGAATTGGACTTAAGGAGTTTGCCATGACCAAGACCACACACAAGTTTGTCTTCGTGTCTCTCTCTTTCTGTTTCTCTCCCTCTCTCTCCCCAACCCCTCTCTCTTCCTAATTCTCTCTTTGTGATTCTCTAAGATACTGTAGAGAAGACTCCTGTAAAGAAATAAGCAATAGAAAATTCTGTGAATAGAGCAGCACTACTTTTTTACAGCAGCAACGGCAGTTGCCAACTCCTTACAAGCTCATGTACCGTAGTAAACTACAAGGAAAAAATAGAAATATGCAACTTTCTTACCGAGAATTGTTATTTAACTTGATTTCTGACCCGTGGCAGCAACAGCTAGCAGCTAACCTTTGTCCCCCCAGGTACAGGGCTCCAGAAGTCCTCCTGAGGTCTACCAACTACAGCTCCCCCATTGACGTCTGGGCCGTGGGCTGCATCATGGCAGAAGTTTATACCCTCAGGCCGCTCTTCCCTGGGGCCAGTGAGATTGACACGATATTCAAAATTTGCCAAGTGTTGGGGACACCAAAAAAGGTAATGATAGGGAACAAAGGTCTGTGGGCCAAAGCCAGCAGCTTCCCATGTCCCCTCCCCTCCAGCTGTTTGCACTGGTACCATGGAGCACCTGCCCATTCTAGGACTTTTCTCTTGACTTGAGTCATTCTCCAGTGCCCACGTCCATAGGCCTGGCCAGCTTCTCTTCCTCCTTCCACTCTAAGTATGAAGTGTGTTGCAGCCCTCTGCTTTTCTGTCTGCGTCATGTCCCCCCGGGAGGGCTTCCCTATTTTCCTGGCTACCACCCTTCTATCTGTTCAGAAGTCTCCTCGACGTAATTTGTAGCCTTTGCCTCCCTCCTCTGTAACTCCATTCGCAGATTTGCTCCATCACCACGAGCTCAACTTATCTGAGACAAGTGGGGCTTTGTTTGCCGCCCACTAGCTCTTCTCTCCTTTCCGTTGATGTGTGTGGTCCTGTCATTGTCCCAGAGCCCCAGCCTGGAAGCCGAGTTTCAGCTTGACCTTCTCCTTCTCTCGCTCCCCTTCCCTTTATCCAGGCAGTTGGTCAGTAAATCCTGCTGAATATACCCCTACTTGATACGATTCACACGGCTCTTGTCATTTCAAGTTCAATGCTGTCATCACAAACCACCATGATCATCCTGCTGGTGTCTGAGGGTGTCTTCTCCATCTTTTTGCCTTTGAGTCTTTTCTTTCCAGCTTATCTGTCAGTTTGTGGCCAGATTCAGCCTCCTAAAGAACAGCCCTGACACTGTCCTTTCCTGGCCCCTCGACTCCCATGGCTGTGCCCTGCTGTGTGCCCAGGCGCTTCCCTGCTTCTGCGCTCTGCACACACACCCTCTGCCTGAGTGAATGTCTCTCACGTGCCCAAATCCTGCTCTTCTTCCAAGGCCCTAAATGATTTCCCTCCTACTGTTTCCTTAGTGTCCTCTCCATGTTCAGCTGGAGTTATAAGAGTTAAGTTATAGGTTATAACATGTCCTGTGTTATAAGATAATTGTTTGTAGACATATCAGTTTCCTGGACCATAAGCTTACTCAGGGCAAAGATTTCTCTTATGGTGGTTTTGCCAGATTCCAACTCCATTATTGATGTAAACTAGACCCTCGAAAATTTTTTTTAATTATTTGAATGACATTAATGCCACCAGGTTTCTCCAGTCCCCTGCTGAAAACTCTCTCTCCTCTGTGTATCTATATCTGTGCCTCTTGTGGCCATTGTCCCTTATTGCTCCATTATTGTGTTTTTTGCTTCTTCTTTTTTTTGAGACAGAGTCTTACTTTGTCGCCCTTGATAGAGTGCTGCACCATCATAGCTCACGGAAACCTCAAACTCCTGGACTCAAGTGATCTTCTTGCCTCAGCCTCCCAAGTAGCTGGGACTACAGGCACCTGCCACAGTACCCAGCTATTTTTTAGAGATGGAGTCTCGCTCTTACTCAGGCAGATCTCAAACTCTTGAGGTCAAGCAATCTGCCCATTTTGGCCTCCCAGAGTGCTGGGATTACAGGCATGAGCCACTGTGCCTGGCCTGCCTTGTTTTCTCTTTTAAGGACAGTGATATCTTAGAGGGCAGGATTTACATTGGGTTATTTTTGCATAGCCAGCAACACTTAGTATACAGTAGGCATTTCAGAACTAAGTGAACAAATGATACAAGCTACACATAGTACCACTTGGCTCTTAAAAAGATGAAGGGAGAGCAATTACATTAGGGTGTATCTTGTAAAATAGGAGTGTCAAAAGTAAATGGAACATTGACCATTTGCTCAAGAATTTTCATCACCCCAACATTCAATGTCCAGAGATAGGATGCATGAAAAAGTGGAGGGCTTGAGACTGGGTGAAACAGCTTTCCCTACCACCGGTCTTTCCCGCGTGAATGCTTTGAATCATCAGGTTGGGTGTATAGTAATATGCAGGGTTCCACAAATTTATTTGAACAGGAACAAGCTGTTTGTTTTGTCTTTCCCCCCAAAATATTTCATTAGTAGTTTTTTTTTTTTTTTTTCCATCAGTAGTTTTTAAAATCTCTGTCTTATGGAATACAGTTGGGGAAGTTCTAATTTGGTTCGATCCTAGAATCTCAGGAGATAGACCATCTAACATGAAGGTTATAAAACAAGTTGGGGACAAATCTCATGTCTTTTCACTACTCCCCAGATTTCCTGTCCTTTTCATTTTTATTTTATTTATTTATTTATTTTTTAGAGACAGAGTCTCACTCTATCTCCCTTGGTAGAGTGCTGTGGCGTCACAGCTCA